GTGAACGACGACACAAACGATGACTGCTACCGCTCTACAGCCACAACAACAGCAACAGCAGCAGCAACAACTACAAGTATTACACCACCACCACCACCACCACCACCACCACCACCACCACCACTTCCACTTCCGCTACCGCTACCGCTACCGCTATCGCTGCCAGTACGACGATGACGACGAGTGCGGTCACCACTACTACCTTGCAGGCTCTTAGCGAGGTGCCTCGAGAGAAGCTGAAGTCTCACGAGGTGTCGGTTGTAAATGCCACGGCGCAAGCAGTCGGACATGTTTCAAGCTTCCGGGCCAGTTTTCCTGACATTCAGGTGGTGAAGGAAAGAAAGAGAGGAGGTGCTTCGATTGTAGCAGCCGGACAGAACCGGACTTTCTCGGAAGTTGATCTTCATGTTTTCGTGTGTGCTGACAGTCGAACAGATCAATTTCGCTACAGGGTTGTACCGCAGATGTAGCACTCAATTTGGCGGTCTTACTAAGAGCTGTGGTCGAACTCGGTCATAAGCCACAGCGGCTTCTGCCTACCAGGCTTCAGTGTCTCCATGGACAGGCCGGGACCTGCTGTAGCTTCGCAGGCCCTCATCCCCGATGGGACTTGGCTTGCCAGTGCAGATCCGGTGCAGGCCTCGTGAGCAAGGGGCTCCAGCACCGCCAGCGCCGGCACCTGTCAGAGCAGACGCAAAGGCAGAGGGAGCCGCAACTGCTGAAGGAGCCTGGGCTGCAAGTTTCGAGGCGGCGGTCTACACCTCTATCATCCATGCGCGGGAGCGATGTCACAACCAAGGAATCTTCAAGAATTTCGGCAGCAACCGTGCTGAAGCTTTGCGCGCGCAGAAACAAGAGGCCGTCGACAGGCAGAAGGCACAAGCCGATTTCTTTGCCAGATTTTCGTCTGAGGGTGATGGTCTGTCTGAGCAAAGGGAGGAGGACGACGACTTGCAGCGGAGGCTTGCCCGACTAAAGGCAAGACAGGCGGAGGAAGACAAGGACCTTGAAGAGAGCAAGGCCGAACACTTAGATGAAAGTGTCGAGGAACGAAAGCAGGAAGAGGCGCGACTGCGAGCAGAGATGATGAAAAGCAGAGCACAGAGATTAGCAGCGAAGCGCAAGGAGCGGCAGCAAGTGGAGCAACAAGGGGAAAGGCTCGAGGATGAAACGAGGCGCGGCGAAGAAGAGAGGTTAGAGGCGCAAAGGCGGCGAGAGGAGGAAGAGCGCGTGGAAGCAGAACGGCGAAAGGCCGAAGAGGAACGACTAGAGATGGAGAGGAAGCAGGAGCAAGAGAAGCTGGAAGAGCAAAGGAGGCGCGGCGAAGAAGAGAGGTTAGAGGCGCAAAGGCGGCGAGAGGAGGAAGAGCGCTTGGAAGCAGAACGGCGAAAGGCCGAAGAGGAGCAAGAGAAGCTGGAAGAGGCGGCGGTGCTGCGAGCATCTGCGAGCACTATCAAGACACATGGTGGGGTAGAGCAGTGGTCAGCCAAGAAGGCTACATAGGCTGCACATGAGCCTGAGTTCCAGGGTTGACTTTAGCAGAGCAGGATCGCTGTGTGTGGTGTCATGCTGCAAGCAAAAACGATTCAAAACAGGTGTCTGCCAAAGAGGCTCTTCAGGACAAGACCATGCAGGTGCCGGTTGTGCTTTCTGCATCTTCGCGGTCCCGTTCTTCGTCAAGCCTTACTTCGCGCGTTCAGGCCGCACCGCGACGACGTCGAGGCCCGACCGGGGGTCTCTGCCGTGTTGGCGGTGGCGGCGTGAGCTTGTCGGAGGTGGCTTCAGCTCGGTGGCCTCGAAGACGGAGCCGGAGCTTGCAGCTCCAACCTCCACTCCCGCTCTGGCTCCGGCCATGCCGAGGTGCAGACCGGGAGAGGGGGTTCCGGGCCGCTCCTCCCTCTTTTGTCGGTGAAGAAGATACTCCCGGCTCTATGCGTGTTGGAATGCAGGAAGGAAGGATGGCAGGGAGCTAGTCGAAGGCAGGAGGGGCTGTGGCCAGCTGCTGGATGCCGGTTCCGCTACCCTCGAAGCTGGTCGGCTAATTTTTCTGCCTCGTTCCACCCGACGTGGAAACCGTGATGCCGCATTAGGCTGCATGCTATCTGCCGCCCGAAAAGGAAGCTGATGATGCGTACGATTGGTAAACGTGGAATGTGGGGCGAGTCTGCGTGATGCTCGTATTTCCTTGGCACACACGAGACCGTGGACCTCGATCTCCACTACACCGACGTCAACCCACACAGCCCGAAGCACGACACGGCTGATGTTCGGGATGCTTATGGAATTATTGGTGTCCTTGCTCACCTGATGCTTTCATGACATTCCTGTTCTGGTCATGCCGGCAGAGAAGAACAGACATTTGAACTGCCTTGCTTCTCTCGTCACTTTCCTCGGCTCATGCCTGTCGAACGATGCTTCTTTGGGGGCCTGCTTGTGTTCTTGGGGTGCTTTTCCCCCTGCTGAAACAGGTTGCCTGTGAAGCCAGTTGTGCGACTGCGGCCCACGAGCATCCACGCCAAACTCGGGAGCATGACAGGGAACTCATGGGAAACAGACACAGTCCAAGTTTAGCTCCCGAAACCGACAGGCCTGAGCAGATCAAGAAGCAGGACTTCTCTGGCATACCGGCCGAGGCGTCAGCATCCAAAGTATGAATCCAGATCTTTTGCACGACGCTTCTGTTCATGTCGCTGCGGTTGCCGCTGCTCGCAGGAACTGCTGCCTACTCCGGCACGGCAAGCTGCACGCCTGCAGAGCGAGAAGTCGGAGGAACTGCCCAGCCTTTTGCACCTCATGGTATGGGTTTTCTGCCAGGGGGCGCCACCAGAACAGAATGACTGGTGGACGGGTTCGCATAAAAGAAGGTGTATCGTAGAACGGGATTGCTCGTAGACGTATTGACCCTGCCTTTGCAAGTTGACATGCTCAGTCCATCTTCCAGAAATGTCAGCTCGGTTGAAAGCTGTTGCGAGATCGGCATCTCCCTCGACTCTGTTAGGGCTTCATGCGAGGGATCATTGCTACAGAATGGCATTGCTGGTTAGCTTGTTTACGGTCTTAGCCACAGCCTGGGCTGCTAGGGTGCGTTTGGGCGCTGCGGACGTCTCTGGTCTTCAGCGAACGTGGCGTACAGTAGTGTCAGTTGTGGAATGGCTTACGATGTATGTCTGCCAGACCTGAAGCACCACAAGCTTGAGCTTTCATTCTCTCCAACAGCTGCATAAAAATTGGCATGCTGATGCGTTTCGTATCTTTTTGTGCCAGGAGAGTGCAGACATTCCATCCATGGAGGCCTCGAAAACATCCTAGCATGCTGCACTGCCCAGCGACAGACCGCCGATGTGTTGTGAGTGTCTCAGGCCTTGCTTGCCATGCTGGGCGAACACCCGCCTGAAGATGCAGCTCGCGAGGAGTCGTGAGTCGTCCCCAAGAATTCGTCAAAGCAGTTTGCGACTGCAGGAGCCGCAGTCGTCAACGATCAATGAACCCGAGCCGCCCCAGTCGGTGCAGGTGCCGTTGACAATTTTTTTTGTCGGATTTGGGGGGGGGGCGGGAATCGTCTTCCAAAGACCCTGGCAGGAGAAGCCGACGTCGCGCCGACGCCGAGGAGGTTCGACAAAAAGAGAGGTTTGTTCGCAATTGAATTAAAAAGTACTTGATGTTATCTTGCAGGATTCACTTCTGCGATCGGTGCTGGGCCTGGATCTGAGCTTCTGGGCTCGGCATAGGCCAGCCTTTGCTGGGCATTGCCAGACAGTCATGGGAGCTTCCCAGACGTTTTGGACCCTGACTTTATCAGGCCAGCAGCCGCGCAGGCGCGGTGCCTTGCCGTGTCGTGCCGATCACTCCTGGCTTTTGCGTTCGCTGTCTTGATCATGCCACATGATGAACTTCGTCATGTCATCACAGTAACAACGTAGCGTCCTTCTGAAGGAAGTCTTGCGCAAAGCAACTGAAATTGGCATTGTCAGTAAGCTTTGGCCTTTGGGAAGCCCTTTAGAAGCATACACCGTAGGGGCAGCACTCAAGTGGGACAGATTCACTTCAGTTTCTCAAACAGTGGAAAAGTGTCGCGCAGTGTTGCTTCAACATCTGGTTGCCCTTGATAAAGATGCGATGAGAGTGCCTAATGAAGTTGACTGCATGTATGTACATCTGTTGAAAATTTCCTGTAGACCGTGCGATGCACCTGCAGCTGTGAGGGAACATGCAGAAAGATTGGCAACGGAGCGATGCTTCATGGAAAGTCTGCAGCAGCACATTTCTGCGCACAAGCAGCTCAAGCGCGGCATCAGGCTGAAGCATCATGGACAGAGTTCAGAAACCACGCTTGGGAGACTTTGTACATACAGGTTTCGCGTGATTGATATTCCTGACTCTCTCGGTCAATGGTTGTGGTTCAGAGCGGCAAGCTTGCGCGGTGTGTCAACCGGTTTCCACAGGCGCAGACGGGATCCGCGACACTGCGGGAGAGCGAGCAGGACTCGGCAGATGTCCGTCCCACGTCAAATACTGTCTGGACACCTTGACAAAGGAAGTCCCTGCAACAGATGATGTTCCGTCCATGGAGGTGCTTTGACCAAGCTGGATGAAAGAGCAAGACAGAACTCGTATCTGCTTTAACAGCCGATAGTTTCTGTTTGCGCAGGCCCTGCTAGCCATGTTGGACGAGGCCTCATGCTCCATTCTTCGGACATGATGCATTAGAGTTTCAGGGCACCGTTTTGGTTTCTTTTGACATCTGTGTCCAGTCAGGATCGCGCTGGATGAGCTCTTCTTGGAGGCAGGGCTCTGCGATTCTACGTCTACCAGTAAAGATTCTGTAGCCTCGAACATGCACACCGACTAAGGCTTTGAGAGCCTATGTTCCAGTGCCAAGATCGTGTCATTGACCCGCAGTCCATGCCATGTGCTTGCTTCGGTTTTGCTGATGCAGATCTGCACCACCTCTGAGACGGCAGAGCTATCTCCGTGCGGAAGAGGCGTGCAAGCTGCTGTTGTTCCGGTTCCACTGGAGACGAAGTTCAAGGCTGCTTCGCAGTCATGCCAAAAAGCGCATGCCTGATTTAAATGCTCGACGAAGCCTTGGATGCGTCAACGCCCCTGCGTGGAAAACAGGGTGTGAGGCAGCAGGAGGACTCTCCGTCGCCGGTGTCTTCTGGACAAGCGACTTCAGCTGTGATGTATACGTGCTACGCAACGTGTACCATCGAGCAAGCCACTTCAATGCATGAACCAAACATCATGCTTGTCAAGGCTGACTGAATGGATCGCTGTCTTGGCCGTTGCGGTTCGATTGTGTCGAGGAACAAATTGGCCACACATGGAGCCTGCCAGCGGCAACCCGAACGTTTTGGCCAGGAACACTCCCAGTCCCGCCAGTCGCATGTATCAGCTGCAATTCATTCACAATGCTACTTCAAGTCATAAACACCATGCTTGCCATGCTCTTGGTATGCCAGCAAAGGCTAACACCTGAGTCAACACGAAACCCAGCCAGTCCTCTACGGTCCTCTCCTGTGGATCGGGGCCTTAAATGCTTCGGACCTTGAGATGGGTCTTCCAGCGTGATGTGCTCCGCTGCCACGCCCTGCAAGGGTGCCGCGCTCAAACCAGTGACCTGCATGAGGGAGATGTGCCGCACTCGCTCACAGCTCGCTCATGGCCTGTACCCAGGTGGGTGCCATGATAGACCGCATAGATGTGTGTGCCCAAGAGCAGTTTGGCCACGCGGGACTCGCTCACGAGCAGATGGCTGTCACATCACGGACACGTGTGCAAATTGTGAACTGAGGCAGCCACGTCCTCGAGCGAGCCCCCTGTCAGCTACGCTGAGGCCTCTCGACATCCACTTGCATCCGGGACTTGGGCCTACGCATGCTGGTAGCCTTCAGCGCTCACTGCTTGCATATGAAGCTGATCAGGTTTCCTCAGGCTACAGGCGGGCTGGGTACATCTTGGATGATGAAGAGGACAGTGTCGACCCAGAGCTGCAACTGCTAGGGCTGTCATGCAGGTAGGTGAGAAGACAATGCAGCGAAGGCTGTCCTTGTCTTGTCTCTTGTAGGAAGCAGCTCTCATAGCGGACTTGCAGATTCACGATTGCCTCATTGTGGGTACCAGCAAAGGCTCGTCACATAGGATCCGGGCGATGTCTTGCAGATGTTTGTTCTGGGCTGACTTGCAGTAAGGAGTCCAGTGTGTATGAGTTTTGTACGGGTACTCTGACGCCTTGTCGTTGTCGGTGTGTCTCAGAGTATTCAGCTTTCCGTAGGATGTGGGGCCAAGTCTGGCTTGCTACAGCCAGGCTTTACCACATTGACGGGCTTTCCCCGGGACGAGGCTGCGATGCTAGAAGTAGTGGCTTTTCTTGCCGTCAGCTTGGTGCCTGGCCGGTATGCGCTTGGCGGAGTGTTCTGCAGCCGGGTGCTTGATCGGATCTTGGTGTGCCCTGAACATGGTGGAAGCCAGTTGATGGTGTTCCTGCCTCGGCCTCCGCAACAGCAAGAGCAGGGACTGGGGAAGAGCATACCGACACAGGGCAGCATGCAGTGGCTATCGGATTTTTACATTTTCGTTTGCACAATTCGAGGCCCTCTCCATTGGACGGCTTCACTGTCACATGTATTCGTGCTAACAACCTTGGCTGCCAGGCACTCGGGCAGAACTGCCGGATGATGTTGAAGGGCGTGCCTGAGGCTCGTGGTAGGTTCGCGAGACGTTGCTAGAATACCAGAACGTGTATAGGCAGCCTTCGTGCCCGCTGCCCCCAAGTCATGCTGTTTTCATGCCAGGTGGCCGTGTCCAAGTCTGCGAGAAAGAACCTTCGTGACTTTTGCCGCATGCCGGATGCTAAGCATATAGTCCTTTGTGCAAATAGTTTGAATATATGTGCATGGGCAGCAATGGGGCACCCTAGTAGCCCTCGGTCGATGAAGGCATCCGCCTTGCATTCAGCCGACGCACAGGTGCAAAATCAAGAAGCTCGATTACATCTCCGAGGCTTTTGAAACATTTCTGCACTTTACACGTCGGAATGTATGACTCGCTTGAATTCCACAGAGGACCTCGGCATAGGGTTTGGTCCGGTAACTTTCTTGCGGCGCAGGTCACGTCGCTGCAGCCCAACAGCCGGAAAAATGGGTCTGGACCTAAGCGTGCTGCCATAAGGGTAGCCACACTGGTTCGGCAACCAGGCGTGAAGAAACTGCTGCTTTGTGCCAGCTAATGCTGTCGATCCGCACTGCGGTGGCAAGACCCGACATTCAGGTTTTGCAAAGTGAGCTGTTTCCGTTTTCTGTGCCTGCTGTTCGTGTTGGACGAGTGTAGGAGTCCCGAAGCTCTTGTGTACAGGCATGTGCACCCGCGCACACGCAAACAGCAGGTCTTAGCACCTTCTATCATGACTTCCATTCTTTTAATCATGATGCCGAGGACTCAGTTCGTCAACTTTTTTCTCGTTGGCCTCGTCCAGGCCGGGGATGCAAGGCTCCATAGGACCGGGCATCCCGAAAGCAATTGCTCATGGGTTTAGGGCCGTTTAGGGTTTAGGACTGGTTTTCAAGAACTTACAGGTGGCAGCGGTTATGCTCAAAGTTAAAGGACCTGGTGATTGCCCTGATGCCCATACATGCTAGGCCACTAGGCTGAGTCGCTAAACGGCTATTTGGGCTGGAAGTTACGTCTCTGCATTTCTAGGAGGAGTCGACCGGAGCCGTAGGATGCCACCAGATGAGCTTCTGGCAGGTCGGCACAGACAGATACCTGCTCGGTGTACAGAGGTGGAGACCTTGTGCCTTATAAGGGACGCATCTCATCTCATTGTCGCGCGACGGTGTCACTCAGGTCTGTTGGCGAAGGGCTTTTCGTGTCCCTCAATGGCCGGATGATGGAAGAGGCCGCATGGAGTGGGAGTATCCGGGCAGGGGAGGTTGAAAGGCACCTTACCCTGCCGTTGTTCATGTTTCCGTCTGTCATCTGTGATATCCGGCATGCCAAGTCCCTGACCTTGAAGTTCAGCATGATCCAAACTTAAGCCCTTTGGTGGGGTTTCTGCGCATGAACGGAACAACAAAAGCGACATGTCGCATTCCTCCCAAGCCTTGCTGAAGTCAACGGAATCCGAGTTTCTCTTCTCCGGAATGGTGGGCAGGTCACTGAAGCTGCGCGAGAGACGTTCAAGCGGATTCGCCAGAAGCTTTTGAGCCTGGACTCCAGCTTAGGCGGGGTGGGGATGCGTTATTGTGCGACTGCCCATGCATCTTAGATGAGTCGCAGCAATTAGGTGTCATCTTTGGCATTTGATGTCATGTGCTTTCCCTGCAAATCGGTCGATCAAGATGTCAACATAACTCCGTTGGCTTCACTTCTGCAACGCGAGTGTGCGAGCCTGTAGATCAAGAGACGATCGTGGCAGGCCGGCTTTCGCATGTCAGCCAGCGGCTGGGTTTCACTTTCTTCTCCGAGCGGCTACAGGCGGGGGATCAACTTCGGCGTGCAGGAACCTTTGCAGAAAGCAGTCCACTGCAAGGATCACTGCTTGCTACTCAATGGTGGTCGGACGGCGATGCGCCGTGAGCCGCAGGACGCAGTCGAGAATCGCTCATTTGAAGTAGAGCGGGCCTGGAAGCAGCAGATCACGAGAACTCTGCCAGGGACTAGGCATTTCTGCGTAGGTGTGTGTGCGTGGGTTTCACGACATTGCAGGAGCTTGCTACCAACTGCCGGGAACCCGGCCGGCTGATTGCGGTCTCTGCCGGTTTTTGCAGCTGTTGCCTGCAGCCTTTGGAGTCCTGAGGTTTGGTCTTTGGCAATGCACCCGTAAGGCGCACGGACGCAAAGCTTCCTGCCATTCGCGCTTCTGTGGTGCAAACCCACGTAGATTCCCAAAAGCCCGCGCAAAAAACAGTAAAAATCGCCCCTGCCATGTCGGAGCATTGAGCCGCAGGATGACGCCCAACGGGCTGTACTTTGCCGTGCGCATTGAGGATGCTGTGACAACATTCGAGGGACTGCCCATTGCCTCGGGCTCAGCCAAAGATCTCAACCAGCAGTGTAGCAATGTATCCTTGGCAGCAGGTGTAGCTGATGATGTTCTTGATGAGCGTTCGCAGAGGTAGCTCTTTGAAAGCTATATCGCAGTTTACTTCCAGCGGACACCAGTGAAGCTGGAACCCTATCCCATGGTGAAGCCATGAACCAGATTCTACAAGCAGAGCATCAAAGCCAGACGGCCTTCCAGCTGAAGCATGGATGTGGCTGGATGACGACTTTTATTCAACCGCTTTTGCCTTAAAGATACGCCAGCAAAGACAGATCTACTTACCGTACAGCCTGCTGTCGCGGCGGCTACCCACCATCGACGACGCCCTCAGATAGACCTAGCAACGCGCTTGACAACAATCGCCATTTATCATTGATGGTGCCCGAGTTCAGGGTTGCAGGGCCTCGCAACAGCAACCTCAGTATCGCACAAGGATGCCGTTGTCCCATACACGATGCCGCGACTCTTGCACACCCCCACAAGTCATCACCCGCATCTCCGAAGGATGGCTGTCGGGTCTGGCCTCAGTACAGTCCAGACACGCCCACTCACAGCTCTACTTCCCATACTCATGTCTGCAGCAGCTGAGCGTGGTTTTCCGGGTATATGCTGGAAGCTGCCAGTAACACACTCCTCACCGCCACCTTCCGTTCTTTTCGCGCAGATAAGAAACTCGCGCGAGTGCATAGGTCCGATCAAACTTTTGCAAGCTTTCCCGCTGTTTGGTGCGACCGGCATCGACAAGCTACAGTGCAGATTCAATAGCATGGCCTCCATCATCTCGACGTCCTGGCATTGGTCCTGAGATGTCTTGAGCAACCATGCCGGGGGGTGACCAGTGATGTTGGTCAGCTCGGAGTTTGACAAACCCTGATCGATATCAACTACCAGAGCCGTGCACAAGGGAGAGGTATGTAGCAGCTCCCGTAACTGTGACTCTTGACGCTGTGCTTAAACAAAAAAGCTGCTTGGCATCAGATGGGCTTCACTCGCCGCAAGCCGGTGGACCAGCCGAGTCTCTACCCAACGGTTTGCAGGCCTGGAGCAGCTGTGCCCTGTAGGCTGAGGAGCATGCAGTGTTTAGGAATATAGCCACATAGAGGCTCTACGCCTTTTGCAGTGAACTCGAAGTCTCCTGTTGCACTCACTGGTTTTGCCGTGTGCTCCGGCTGAGTCTCGGCCTGATTGAAGTGATGCAATGTACCGCAGCCTATGGCTCATGCACAAGCGGCAGTGCGAAGATTTCACACTGACAAAGGACCGTGACAGGGCTTAGTCTATCAGGCGGGACTTGAAGTATGATGGTTGTGGCTGCAGTGAGCAGATGTGCTGCTGACCCTCAACATCTGCTCTCTCAGTCGTGTCTTATCTGCAGGTCATGACAAGTTTGAAGTGCAAATCTGCCTGATGGCTGGCTTCTGACGTAAGAGCTGAGGCGGCAGTGACTTGTGTCACAACTTGAACTTTCTGGTGGCACGACAATGGAAACTTCTTGACCGGACATGGAGGTGCAGTGCACGGCTTCAGACAGTAGCTGTTCTGTGTGCAGCTGCAATTGTGTCAGGACAAAGGTCCAGAGGAGGCTTGGGAAGAGGAGGAGTGCGAAGAGGAGTGGCAGGAGGAGCAAGCTGAGAATGAAACTTGGACAGAGGAGAACTGGGACTTGAGGGAAAAACAGGAACATCAAGAACACGGACAGAGCTGGGAGGAAGCACAAACTGAGTTGATGGAAGATGAGGAAGAGGACAGAGTTAGGGTGAGCTAGTTTGCTCAGTGCATACGGCTCCCAGATGTTGCAACCGCCTGCTGACTCCTTGTAACACCTGCTCGAAGGATGTAGAAGAAGAAGACCTCGAGGAGCCATGCTGGATAGACGCTGCAGCTGCAGAGGTTCGCTGTGTAGAATGCTTGGTCCCCAAATAAGGATTTCAGAAGTGCTTCCCTTCGTCTTCGGACCCTCAGCTTAGGACGAACTCCAAGATTGCCGCTCCGTTTGTGACGTCTTGCTTCAAGCCGCATGGCATAACTTGCTTTCATCTGTACGAAAGCGATTTAGGAAGTAGACATTGGTTGCTGTGAAATTGCTGCTGCAAGAGCTATTTTCCTGTTGATCAGGGTAGGCTGAATTCCCATTTTGGAAGGTGGATGCCATCGCCGTGGACGTGGAGGGCATTGACTTGGGCCGTGCAGGTGAGATCTGCATCATCCAGGCGGGCTACCAAGCCATTTTTGAAACCTGTGGAATCTCCCCTGTCACTGTCTCAGCGACTGAACCTGGGCGAAGATGCAGGTGTCAACGCGGATGCGACAGGTCTACCTCTTTGACATTACCGCTTTGGGTCGAGCGGCTTTCCAAAGTGGCTTGAAGGCTCACCGGAATCGAACATGTGCCTTTACGAATTGCGTGGTGAAGGGTGTACATCGACGGCACCGCAGTAGCATGATTCGCAGGAATTGCTGGAGAGCGAAGATGTCGTCAAGCTTTTCTACGACTGCCGCAGTGATGCGGATGCCTTGCACCACCTGCATGGAGTTCAGCTGACCAATGTGCGACTCGCATGAACTTGCTTCCTGTTCGCTTATTGAAAGCACGTCACTACCTGCCTCACAAAGAGATTTGCAAGTAAACATAAATTAAGGCTTAAGGAAGCAGCCGATGGTTTATCTAAAGCTCTGCTACTGCCTGCAAGATGAGATAGTCTCTACAAAGAGCTTGCATCGTACAGCCCCCGCTCTGTGTCGGAATTTCCGCGAAATCACCATGATCACCGCATAAAAACCGACCTCCGACGCGTCCTCTTAGGTTGGATCTCCAGGTGCTCTTCACCCATCAATCGGGCCAACGGTCAGGTCAGCTTCCTGGAATGGCCAAAGCGCGGCACAGCTGAAAGCTAGGAAGCTAGGATGGGTGAGGCTAGGAGATGCCACCAGCACCTCTGGTGAGCTTGTTTGGAGGTTGGAGGCTTCAGGGCTGCGGAAGGATCTTCTCGTTGGTCAGAGCCTGCGCAGCAGCAGCTTTGCAAAAGGGCAGATGTGTCGTGCCGATGCAACTCCAGTCAGCTATTCTTGAGGCTTGGGCAAGTTTTGTCCTACGAGGAGCACCAGGCCATGCACGCGCCATCTGTTCAGATCGCACGTGCTTGCTGAAGCTTACCATCTGTCTTTGCTAGGAGGCAAAAGGCGTCAAAGCTGCCGGAACTGGCATGTTTGCGCCTGAAAAAGGTGGCAACATCCAGGCGGGAGTGCTCTAAGCAAGGATTGCGGCGGGGTCGAGACTGGCTCGCTCTTCTTCGAGTCAGAGCTCACTAGTCTCTGAGGGATCTTTCGCAGCAGCCATCGTGTACAAATCGGTCTTCGATGAAGGGAAGTAATATTGCAGCGGCACAACGACAGTTGCTCTGGCAAGTGCTATGGACATCCAGAGCAGATACACGCAAGCCCATACCTTGTCAGGTTTGGAAACTTCGACCACTGCCCCAGTTGCTGGTGCGGTACTGTGCCCAGGACACTGTATTTGTCGTGTCTGCATGGCACTTTGCCGCTTTGGCAGCGCCGCCCCACTCCAGTCTGCAAGCCTAGACTGGCCTAGACTCGAAGCTCTTAGTGCTGCAAGTTACAACAGCCTCAGAAGCACCCTACTTTGTCACCCGAAGGGTTCCGTCTAAGGAAAAGGTTCCCTCGTAGCCAAAAGCTCAAGCTACAGAGCATCAAAAGCACCCCACTCTGCGGAGGGGGAGGAGGAGGAGTAGGACATAATCTGAACACCTCCAGTTTCGAAGACCTTCAACATGTGGGCCATTTTCTCCAGCCGTGACCGTAGTAGTGTTTGGGAGTGGCCCGCCCTTGTCCGATTCCGTCAGGATGTCCGGCACCTCTTCGCCATGTGGGCAGCTTGGGACTCGCTGAGTCATCCCGAGCTCCGGGAGATCTCCGAGGATCGGATGCGACGGCGGATCGAAGCTCGGCTGAACATACGACCGGCCCCGTCACATGCATCTCCTCCTTTTTCGGTGCTGAGGAAGGAGCCCATCCGCCGGAGAGCCGCTCTGCAAGTTTGAGCATGGGAGGTCTGGAAGAGAAGGCGCCCTCCTCGGATGTCGAGGTCCCTGGCTGGTGGACTTTGATCTGCCCCCGCCAGAGAAGCAGAGGCGAAGAGAAGCTGTGCTGAATTTGGAAAGCTATGAGCTTTACGAGAAATCCAAGCTATCTTTCGACGCACTGCGACTTTGCGAGAAGGGGACGCGAGAGGGTCTGTGAACCTGGCGAGGGCAGCAGCTGGGAGACCGCTTCGATGTTTCCATGTCTTCCGAGCACCTTTGAGCTGCTTTTGCTAAGGCAGGCTGATGCTATCAGCTGCCGCACTGGCATCCAGTGCAAGCTGCCAAAAAGTGCTGGAGACTGCCTGTCGCTGTGGATGTGAGATCGCATCGTCCCTGTACATCCCCTGATTTTGCCACAGGTGTTTGGGCGCGAGTGTTCTGGTGGGAGCCTGTGGCGAGGCTCGAAAGCGGTTCTTTCACGGCTGTGCAGCTGCAGGATTTTGTCATCTGCAACTTTGCGGATTCAGACGAGAAGTTGAAAAAAAGCGTTGGCTTTTGTGGGCAGGCCTTCGCCCGCGATCAGATCGAGCACTTCCGGATCGGCTTCAAGCAGCCTCCGCAGACAGAGGCGTGTGTTGCCCTCGTGATGCCAAAGGTTGCAAATGAAAGGTGATGTGTGCCCCGACCAGCAAAACAAGAATGGTTCAACAGCGAGGGCAAAGGCCCGCAGCCCGCTGACTCTTCTTCTTCGAGCCAAGATGCCATTGCAACTAGAAACCAGTTGAAGCTGTAGAAGTCTAATTCTCCTTAGTTTTTGTAGCTTGGAGAGTGCAAGACATGGTCCGCACGCAGGCAGATTAGCAAACACGAGCTTAGATTCAGTTCTGTGCAGCCCAGAGATGGGCTCCTCGTACTCGCACATGCAATGATACGCCGGTTGAGTTGCGCGGGGGTCCACCTGGCTTGGGCCTATAACTGGCCGGAAGCAGGCAACTTCGACCTCCCTGGTTTTCAGACTGTTAGTACTCAAGCACCATTTCAGCCCGAGCCCGCGGCACCGCCGACACCGTCGGAGCTGCCTGATGCGATCGATCCTTCCATGTGCCAAGACTTTGCGCGACTCCGCAGTCAAGTAGCAAGATCGCCTTTGAGGACATACATGCAGAACTTTGGTACCTGGCTGCGCGAGAGTCCCTACCAGACTGCAATTGCGCTTGGAGCCTTGGCATGTGGCTGCGTCTGTGTGTGGGATGGACCACGACTTTGGGAAAACCTAGTAATCGCTGGCTTTTCCCTTGGAGCTGCCTGGCTGGCGCATTTCGAAACCGACCGAAATCACTTGGCCCCCAACATGCAATCGGGGCTTGCGCTGATGCTCGCGGCCGGGGTGATTACTGGGTTAGCGGTGCACAGCGGCTTCGAGGGAACCCAGGTGGTCATTGGTGCTGCCGCAGGTTTTGCGGCGGCAGCCTACTGCGGGGTGGGGGCGGGGGCTGAGGCCATCGACAAGAGTCTGCCAGGGATCTCACTGACCTGGTGCTGTGCGGGCTCCAGCTTCGGAGCCTGGGTCTTGGTGACCTGGAGACGACCCCTTTTGGCCTGCTTGGCCCCGCTCCTGGGCAGCTTCCTCGTGGTTTCGGGGGTGGGGAGCCTGATCTCCTTCTTCGACATCGACGCCTTGCCCCAGCAGGGAGCTCCTTGGTCGGTGGAGGCTTCTATCCTGCTTGGGCCCTTGGGTACGCAGGCCCTCACGTGGCATTGCCTCTGCGCGCTTCTGGCAGCATCAGCTCAGAATTGCGGCCGCAGAGCCTTGGCCGTCACCGTGATGATCGCCTATGTTGTGCTGGTGGCATTGGGAGCTTTGATCGTGGGCATCGAGTGCAAGGATACACAATCAGAAGCAGAGGGGAGGGAGTGCCCAGAGCATCTGGCGATCGTTGGTCGCTGGCAATGGCAGTTGTGTGGCTGTACGGCATGGGCAGCACTGGCAGCCTTCACAGGTTGGAGACAGTTGGGTGCGCTTCAGGTCTACCTCTCCCGAAAGCTCAGCAGGAGGACGTCGCGTTCCCGAAGCAGCTATGCCGCTCTTGATGAGACTCCGCATGCTGCTAACGTCGAGAGTGGCTTGCAGACGTTCGTGACGCCAGGATACATGATGACTGCGGGACCACAAAGGCTATCAAGCTTTGTTCATTCGTTTCCGCATCGTCGGCTTGGCACCGTCTGAGCCACAGCTTTACGAGATCATCAGCCTGCACAGGGCGCATCGATGCGAGAACTGCAAAGCCAGTTCACAAGCAGAAATGCAAAGGAAAAGTGGCTGCTGCACCACCTGGCGACGAACGTGTAGTAGGCAATATGAATACGGCCCTGGCAAACCATAGCATGAAATGGATGCCTGGGGGAACCGTAACTCATTGTGATACCAGCTAGGTTGTACACTGAAAGTACGTTCCTGGACCTGTTTGACATGATTCATACCTTGTGCGGGTGTGCGCTTATCTTCGGCTTCGACAGAAGCTGTCACTGCAGATGATACGGGATTCGTTAGGCTCAGGCGCGCAACCTTCCTGCGACGTGCATGTGATTACCAACCTGCATTCTGCGTGTTGACTGCGAACGCTTGCGCTTATGTTGCACAAGTTGTGGCAGGTTGCCTCCTGGTCCACACAAGCCGACGTCCCACCGCACAAGCGAAGGCGCGGTTGGAAGTTGTAACAAAGAGAGTCTCCTTCCGGGAGCACGGCTAGCCAAAGTCAGTTCGCTGCCATGACCATCTGCCGCAGGGAGAGGAGTTCCTTGTCAACAGTTCCACCAGCTGTCACATCTAAGTGTCCGCAGCAGATGTCTGGAGTGCAAGCATTCAACTATAACCATTGTGTCACAACATCGAAATGCAAGCCATCAACTTGCACTCACAGGAATGAGTGGGGGTCATTATGTTCCACGCCAAAGAAAGAGATGACAGTCGCAATTTCGTGCATTTCGATTGTAAATTGGCAAAGCGAGAATGCGCTTGGACAGATCCGGAGATACAGTCGTTCCCATCCATGAAGTCAGCTTCACTTGCTTCTGAAAAAGATCTGGAAGACCTCGACATGATTGGCTTAAGCTTTCAAGTACAATGCCTACTGTACCAGTGAATGTACGGGATCCACGAGGCTGTTGATGCAATCCGCAATGTAAAGTGGTCACGGGCTCTGCCTTTCCTTGAAAGATGGCTTTAGCCAGAAGTTGAATAGCTGTTTTCTGGAACGTTTGCTTCCCTGCACATGTAGGCATGTAGGGATGCAAGCGTGTGTGTACGTGTGCATGAAGGGATGCATGCATGATGTCATGCATGTATGTTTGTGCATACATGCACAGCAGTTTTTGTGATGCTGTCTTTCGCGTCTTCTGTCCCGAGCTCTATTCTGAATTCTGGGTCGCTTGACCCCTCCAGATCTTGAGTTAGGGCGCCATTAGCTGCCTTGGGCTTTAGCTGTTTTGCATGCTGGACCCTCATCCCTTTTACATTGTTTTTCAGTGACCAGTACCTGGCAGGGCGCCGGTGAGTGTGAACCCGGGCGACGTGTTTGGGTTCCAGACTCGATCAGCCTTTGAAGCAGTGTGCATGCATCTGCAGTCGCTGTACTACGGAAGCGCGACATAGAGTGCGGCCACCCCCCATCCGATAAACCTACACTCCGTTGCGTGCAAGTGAACACCAGGTGCCTGTACACGATGGAGGGCCGGCTGCAGCTTTGGAGGCTTGGGAGTGTGCTTGCAGGATTGAATGCACAGGGCCCTTTTGTGCCTTTTGTGCACGGAGACAGCAGAATAAGCACCGTATCAAAATCATCTTGCGGAATTTTTTAGGTGGGGAAGCAGCTGTGCCTCTGCCAGGAATGGCTCCCAGGTCTTGGACTTTGACGTGGGCCGTCCCATCCAGCAGGCATGAACCCAAGAGTGATAGTTGAGGCCCCTACATCTGGGTTTCTACAGGGGCAAGCTGGCATGAAGAATCAATGTGCCCGCAAATATCGCGTAAATCTGATACCCTTAGCCCTTGACCTCAAGCCCTGTATAAACCCTACGCCCTATAATGTGCACCAGACTGCAGACCCTCATTTACTTGGCAGTGCCAGCTGTCAGGGCATTTTAGAGCTTGCATGTTGAAAGTTGAAAGTTGCCAGGGCGCTGACTACTATGCAGTGATTGACGTTTGTCTGGCTGCGTGCGCTGGGAATCGAGTTGGGGAAGTGTGTCCCAGGCATGTCTTAGTGTGCAGGGGTCCAGCTGCCAGGTACTCCGTCAGCCTTCTTCCGCATTCCAGCCCAAGCCAGTACTCAGAGTCCACGGTGCCGCTCCAATACCCCGGTATGGAGTGTTACATGTGGTGAACACGGCTGTGCTAGCAAGACCATAGGCGCTGCACGGATTGCACGATGAAGTCAAATGCCGTTCCAGCTCTTCGGCTTACATCACTGTTAGTGAGAACTGAGCCAAAGTACATCGGCTGTTAGCGTTTCGAGCATGATTGACCGACCTATTCTTTGCGAAACGCTGTAATGATCGTTGAAATCCGCAAGTTCGGCACTGTCCGGTGCCTGTCGGAGTGAAGGCTTCACCAAATACCATGGAGGCAGATTCCTTCAGGGAACTCTAAAATCTGCCTTGAAGCTTACTATAACATGCTATAAGGCTACAACTATATAGCAATGTACACCAGAATAGATATTAAGGGCCATGAGGTCGGCAGGCATGGCAAGCCGGGCCTGCCGCGCAATGGCCCTTCCCGCTGCATGGCCTGCACGAAGGCTGCACTTGGCCGCAAGCCCCGTCCTGAGCCTTAGCAGGGAGCCATGTCCATGATCAGTGATGATCAGTGATGCATTAGCATAATAGTTTGATCATAATATTAATATCAAGAAAGGTATTAGTATGAATGTGAATATTAGTCCTAATCTTAATACTCATATTGGTATTATTCATATTTTATATAAGTATATTGATATGAGTATCGCCCCTCACAGGTCCTGGGGGCACTCGCAGCTTCAGCTCGCAAAGCTCTTCTGAGGAGAAGAAGGAGGCCACTTGTCCGGCAGCATGCCGTGCAGGATTCCATGATGCTTGCGCACGCAGCAGAAATCCAAAGTGACGTGTGCTGCATGCCCAGGCAAAGCGTGCTGCACTCAGATGCGACTTGATAGGACATCGATTGTCGCCCAGCTAGAAGCAAGTCCCTCTTGTCGGTTGGCTCGCCTTCCCCCCTTTTGGCAACTATCGTCCACTCAGCGATTTGGGTGTCGCTCTGCCTCTGCTTGCGACGTCAAAAGTTCAAGGCAAGCCTGTGACCACCCTGGAGGAGGCGTCAGGGCCCCGACCCACACGGCCATGAGGGTGTACGGGCTTTGGAGGCCTTCGTCGGCCTTCGTCGAGTGCTCAGAGTACTGGAGGCTTTATCTGGCCAAGCTTGCGAACATCTGGACAGAAGCAGAGGCGTGGCTGGAGATTGATGAGCCCGTAGTAGGTGGTGACCGGAAGTGTAGCTTCACTGGACAAAAGTGCCATTGTTGCACTGGTTCGGTCAAACTGCTGGGTATCAATGCTGCTGAAGCAGCCCTGCCTCCATTTCATGCCAGCATCGAAGATCCAGTTTGTTGTTTGCAGGTCCAGTACCAGATCGCAGGGTCCCCGGACATGCAAGGACTGGTTGGTGCATGCATCCGCCACTCTTTGGCCTAGTCGGGGCGAGGTTCGAGGACCGGAGTTTTCCCGAGACAGCTCACCGTTTATGCTCGAGAACTTCTTTGAGGCCGGAAGTTATGTACCGTCAGAAAGGCCATGAACTGTGCACGAGGCGAGATGGCATTTTGCGCAAGTGGCTGGCTGCAAGCATGTATTCACGGGTACAAACGAGTCTATCTGTCCGTCTGGTTGTCTGTCTCCGTCGGTCGGTCGGTCCGTAGGTAGGTAGGTACTTGTAGGTACGTATGTGCGTAGGTATGTAGCTACGCATGTACGTATAAATGTATGTTTGTATGCATGTATGCATGCATACATAAAAATGCGGTGCAGATGTCAGGCTACAAAGTTGTACACATCGGTTGTGAAACTAGCTCTATTCGTTTGCACGCGCTGCAGCAACGCCCGGCCGATGGTGTCTCAAGCAATAGTGCCGCAGAGCGATGTTTCATCATAACTCCACACAAATGCTGATGCCGGACACAGCAATGTGGACATGACCTGTCAAAGCGAGCCCAGTCTGGGCCGTCATGGCGTCAGTAGCCGATTGAATCGATATCTACTTTCTGTCAGCGGCCATGGCTCGTACCCGCTGGCTGTGCCTCTCGCTGCTGCTCTACGGAGCTTTGCGGGTGAGCCAGGTGGCGGTGCCAGTCATCTGCCGTAGGACGTGGCTGTCGTACTGTTCTAATCAATTATTTGCTTGTATCCGTCGGGTCGAAGACTTGGTAGGGATGCATCGGAGGGTTATTGGCACGACTTGACCCGTCGGGCTCCTGCTGATGGCGCCAGGTGACATTCCTGGGCCCACAACCTGCCCAGCCAGCACGCACAGCGATGGCTGCAACGAAGAGGAAGGGAGCAGCGAAGAAGGGAGGAGGACCGTGAAGAAGACAGCAGAGGGAACAAGATGCGGCTTTTCTTGGAGTTCCCTGCTTTGGATGCCTTCGATTTCCACCTATGTCGCCGTCCCAAAGACTGCTTAGAACTTAGAATGTCGGATTCAATCGGACTCGGCCGCAAGGAACCCGGATCAGTGTTTGCCCGATCGAGCTTGAAAAGCAAATCGAGTCGCCACGCGCGGGTGCTGAGCAACTGCCATCTCTGCCTCAGACATTCAACGATGCTTGGAATGGTGCTTCACAGCTCTGCCGAAAGACCATTACAAGGCATGCGCACTGGAATACTTACAATAGTGACGGCAAGGGACACGTGCACGTGCATGCGATTGGCTTGTATACTCCTGCAAACTCACTTAGCCACGAAGGCACTTTAAGCTTGACCAAGCGATTGAGCGGTATCGTGCGCAGTCGCCGCAAGACTCCACGTGATGCGCCCCGGAAGTCCCACCAAACGAAACGAAAGGGGAGCTACATAGTTTTCTTTGTGAGCGGCATGACGGCATTACGCAAAACACGCGCGATACCCGTTCAACTTGTGCCGTCTGTGATTTTGGGGCACGCCGAAGCGGGGTCATCTCAGACTTGAGCTCAAGGCTCAAACCCTCAGAAAGGGAGACAGAGTGCGGGAGCAAGGGTATAGAGCTGAGTCGTTCTCTTTGCCCAGCTCTGCAGGAAAATACCGAGGTGTGGTGAACCCCAGGCTTCGGAGCTTCATCCAATCAAACGAATACCGAGAGCTTCTGACCTTACTGAAGAACGTGAATGACGAGGGCGTCCTCGATGATTTCTTGGCCAAGGCAGAGACTTACTGGCGACTCGGCTTGCACGTTTCTGTCCTTCTTGACATCCTCCTTCTTGTTGCTTGGATGCTTAATCTGGCAGGATGGACATCAACATTTTCCAGCTGGCCATGGAGGAGCAGTCGGGTGGTGGTCGCGGTGTCGTGGCTACTGTGAAGAAGGATTGGCCCAAGATTTGGCCCCCCCAGCTGGAGAGCAATCGCATGTACGCCTTTGACTGCTTCGCCAAATTCTGGGGGAGAGCCTTGCCAGCACTGGCATGGCCTGTCCGGCACGCATATATATATATATATATATACACATTAAGATCCTACAAAAAAGGTTCTGACATCTAAAAACCTGCAGCGTTGCCTTGACCAGCTTAGGACTGGAGCGTTCCAAGCTGGTGGATGATGTCATGTCCGAGGTCCTCCCCGACTTGGGTAAGGACTACAACGAGAAGCTCGAGAGCCAGGATCAGCAAAAGCTCATGAAGATGTCCGATGATGAGCGTCGTGACGAAATCATGAATCGTCTCGGAGGCTCACCAATCGTGGCCCAGTATGCTGGGCTGAGCAGGGAGGATCCCGAAGTGAAAGCTATTGGATCCAAGATGGCACCCTTCGTGGCAAAGTTCGTCTCTATCCTGGAGCGAAAAGTGTCCACGCAGACCGAGTCCCTTGGTCAAACTGTGGATTTTGTTGTTGTCGGCGTCATAGCAGTAGTGGTCCTGATTGGCCTGAGCTTCGCTGGTATTATCAAGATTCCTGACCCAACGTGGTGAGCAGGCTTTTCTCTCAATTTTCCGGATGCTTTATGCTGAGTCTCACCACCCGCTGTCTTCAGAAGCGTACGGGCATCCCATGGGTATCGAAATACTGCGGCGGCCAGCAGCTGACCTCATTACAGGTTGTATGTCTCAATGTCCCCTCTTGGCTTGATGCCATGAGGGTAGTTGTCAGAATTATGGTCCCTTTTGGGGTACCCCAAATAATAGGTGCCGTATTATAATAAGGTCCCACAAAGGGACCATCATTTTGACAACCACCCATGATGCAGGTTGAGGATGAGCCGTATGAAGCAACGGCTTCCAAGGCCAGGTGGTGATACCGCAGGACCTGCAAATAAGTCTTAATAGACGATAATATACCACAACATAGTATACTATAGCATACTACAATCATTTGCAATAGACTATGATGTACTATAACATACTATAGTAGACTGCAGAGGCTACTTCTTTACAAAGCCGGTCGCCCTCGCAGTATCGAAATGCAGAAAATCCTGTCGTCCACCTGCAGAAGCAGCTCGACGTCGGGGGCGCGGAGGGCGAGCGGGAATGGTCCCTGGCCTAGCACCCAAAGTAGGAGAAGGAGCGGTGAGTCATGACTGTGCTGGTGCTTCTTAAGTACTGGCTGCAGGCCAAACACCAACCCGACAGTCCACGGGACCATAGAGAAGTGCCCCACCAACTCGACATTACGTTGGGGATGTCAGGACTTCTGACGGATGTAGCAGTGTTCTGTTGGTCCGCACATTTGATCGGGAGTTTCGCACAAGGCTTGGCAGGATACTACACTACTTCGTGTTCAAGGCCTCGCATATTCCGACGGAGCGTTAGTGAGGTACTTCCGGCCTGACCTTCCCCCGAAGTTTTGGCATGGGGGCAAGGAGCCTGCCCGAGAATGTCCAAGCTGATAGAATGCATGTCGTTTCTGCTTTCGCATTCTTGTGTGGGAAATCGTCCATCAGCATGGTAACTCTGGCAAGCATCGAGGAGTGGCTTTCTTACGTCGAAGGCTGCGGGCATGGCTTCCCGAGTCAGGTTGTGCAGCAAGGTTGGTCTCAGAGAATTTCTCGGACCCCAAAGAGGATTGGACACAAGTCAGGTGCGGGGTTCGAGTACCACGACAGACTTGAGTCTGCAGTAGCCTGTTTGGAAAGGCACGGGCACTCGAAAGCGCGCGTCGGCTCACGTGGCTTCGGCCTAAGCTTGGGAGCTGTGCCAGAGAGAGGGAGAGAGGGCAACATCCATGCGCTTCTTCTTGCTGCCGACCGGGGGACCATATCTTTTTAGTAGTGCTTCCTCCCCGACCGTGCCCTCAAACAGGGGCGCGCCTTTCGGCGCAGGGAGCCTTACCCCGGAGTGAAGTGAAGTGAAGCACACGTTGACGAAGAAGTCATCTTTCCAAGGTGCTCGTCCGGGGCACCGGGATATTTCGTGTCAACGGAGAGCAGGACGAAGTGCAAGTGTGGGTCTTGCTTGCGTGCTGCCGTTCTTCATCAGCCGGAAGGGTCCTCGAAAAACTCTGCAATTCGGGACCTGCCAGCGAGGACATGTACTCACGATGGCCGCAGATTTACAACCGTCGGGTTGCTCAGAAAGGCTTCGTGTCAATGTGCATTTTACATGACGCCCGCTGCGTTGGCAGAGAATACCTCAGAGCCTGCTTGCCCATATCGAGCTCCATAGTTGAGCAGTTTAACAGCTAGCGTGAGCGCCGCCTTGGAGCCGGCTCCGAGGGCCCTGGACCGGAAGAGCCAGGGGGGGGGGGGGAAACTACTGCGCGGGCCCGCGGCAAAATTGTAAAATCGGCAGGTCCTCCTACCGGACCTCTCGAATCAAAATTGAACCAGAAAGTCGGAACAAAGAGCTGATCTGGTACTACCATCATTACATGGTCCCATGGAACCTGACCGCGACACCCCCGTCCCTCCGGCCTAGAGCCATCCGAGGGGTCGATGTCTGCCAGCCTTTCAAGCTGACCGGTGCCTTGGCATAAGAACGCCTAAACCCTAACCCTAAACCCTAAACCCTAAACCCTAAACCCTAAACCCTAAACCCTAAACCCTAACAGGCCCTAAACCCGTAAACCCTAAATGAAATGTCTTATCTCATCTGCAAGGCACAGCAGGCCAGTACGATGTCTTTGTGGAGACCCGTGGAGGTGGTTTGAGTGGGCAGGCGCCAAGCCATCCATAGCTTTGACGATTCACATTTGGGAGTTTCCGAAATAAGGGGTACCTTATTTAGGGGTCCTTATAATAAGGATCATACTATTTAGAGTACTATATTAGGGTCCCCTATTTTCGGAAACCCCCATTTAGCATCTGGATTATGCAATCATGTGGAGGCCATTCCATGTACTGCGAATTCATGTTGCAGCCTTTGTGTTCCCCATTTGCACGGCTTGAGCGCAGTTTGGCCAGGCCGGGGCCACGCGCCTTGCGATCTCCCGAGCACTTTTTGAGGCAGTGACCTCATGGCCTTGTCAGTTATGGACTGAGTTCTGGACACGTTAGTCCGTTTGCGGTTTCTACCGATTACGGGTTCGGGAGGGGCCTGCCCTGGTACTGCGGTTCTTGCCGAACCTCGGCATTTTTTTAAAAACCCCCTCCCCTCCCCTGGCCTCCATGCCTCCATGCCTGGACATGCTCTATATTTCAAGGCCCCACCCTGCGTCCATGACCCCCGGACCTCTACTACATGCAGACGATTGCTTGATATCCCAGAGGTGCCACGTTTATGTACCAAGTGTGTTTTCTTAGTCCTGTAATGCGACTGTCCCTTTATGCATGTTTACAAGGGCGTGATGTTCTAAAACCTTTACACCGGGCAGCTATGGGGTGGGCACGATAGATAATCATATACGGATACAAGGGCTTTGGGAATGCTGTCGCTGGGCCATGCTCTGTCTGAACGTGAAACAAATGTTTCTTCGATGGACGAGTCGCTCGTGCCAGCTGAGGCCAACCCCAGTTGCCATGATGACCTACAGAAAGGTTTCTGTCTCCTGGAGGTGGAGCTCGGACACGTGTTGTATGGGCTCGGGACGGCACCAGACGCAAGTTTGTGTCAGCTGTTTCAATGAGCCATTGCTAAGCTTTCTTATTGGACTGCTTGCGGCCATCCCTGTTCTGTTCACACGCCACTGAAGGCTTTTGTTTCTGCATGTGTCCCTTTTGGCTCGGAGAAATGTTTACGTCAGGGAGGTAGCACTGCTGCTATCCATGGTCAGCCTCAGTCCACTGCCCTGACCCCTTCATGTCTCTTGCAAGCTCGTTTCCTGCAAACCTAGAGCACAGCTTCGCAGCATAAGCCACACCACGGAACCCTCAGCGGGGCCCTCCCCTTCAGCTATACGGCTATACGGCATAGGCCTAGGCTTAGACGGCCTGCTGCTGCGATTGCAGCTGGTCCGCCTCCCAGAGGACAGGGCCCAGGGGTAGTGTTGCGACCATTGAGTTCCAAGGTGACATGTGTAGTCCTCACGTCTTGAAACATGCCGTGTCTAGCGATGTATTTCAGGAGGAAGACTGCGCCGTCTCTGTACATTTTAATGTTCCTGGGAAGCAGCCAGTCGCCAAAGCCTTTTCGTTTTTGTGTTTTCAAGTGAGCTGCGACTGCTTCTGGAGCATGTCAGGCGAATTCTGTAAACTCTTGCGGTACGGTACTTTTCACCAATGCTGCCGCCGAATTGGGCAGAGCACAAAGACCCGACAACGGGCAAAGCGTACTACTACAACTCCGTCACGAAGGCCGGGCCGGGTCATGCTTAACAGTTTCCGAGTAATGTGCGAGGGCAGAGCATCCGTCGCAGGAGACGACCTGGAGCAGGCCAGCTTCAAGCATTGGAGCGCCACCTCCACCAGCGCCTCCAGGTGGCCCTGGCACACCCAAGGCACCACTCGCACCGTCCCTGAGTGGCCCGAAGCCCTTGACACCGCTTGGGGCACCTGCAGCTCCCAAGCTGCCCTCGGGTCCGGCGCCGCCAGCGCCAGGATCACGACCAGGGCTGGGTCCTTCTGCACCAGCTCCACCCGGAGGTCTCTCGAGACCGACAGTTTCGATCGCATCGCCCAGCCCTGGAGCTCCAATGGCCCCCAAAGTACCCTTAGCACCGGCCGCCCCTGGAGCTCCTTTGGCACCCAAGCCAGCTGTTCCCCCAGCCCCGGGTGCGCCGGGTGCTCCAAGGGCACCTGGGGCGCCTGGCGCTCCTCTGACTCCGGCTCTACCGGCGGAGTGGACAGAGCATAAGGACCCAGTAACTGGCAAGACGTACTATTACAACAAGATCACCAAGGAG